AGAAGCGAGGCTCGGCCCTTCTGAATACCAAGAACCAGGCTTACGAGAACAAACCTTTTAAGAAAAATGTGGTTCCGTATTCATGTTTCACTGTTCGACAGAAGCTTTTCTTTCTTTTCTTTGAATACTGGGCTCTTCCTAGGCTCTTGCAGGGCAGCTTTGGATTCCATCAATCAATCGGACTAGAGGAGGCACCTTGGAGGTCTTCTAGTCCAGCCCCCTGCTCAAGTAGGAGAGACCCTACACCATTTCAGAGAAGTGGCTGTCCACTTCTCTTCTTAAAAACCTCCAGTGTTGAAGCACCCACAACGTCTGAAGGCAAAGCTGTTCCACTGGTTAATTGTCCACACTGTTTCTCCTTAATTCCAGGTTGCTTCTCTCCTGGATTAGTTTCCATCCGTTGTTTTTTTGTCTTGCCTTCTGGTGCTTTGGAAAATAAGTTGACCCCATCCCCCCCTTTCTCTCTGTGACGGCCCTTCAAACCACTGGATTCGGCAGTTCATGACGGTCTTCCAGATGGTTCTCAGAAACTCCGGGCTCGTCCCAGGTGAGCAGGTGCCCCCAAGGCTGCCAATCCTTGTGGCTCCTGTGCCTGCAGAGGATGTGGGTCCACGGGTGTAAAAGGAGAGCCCATCTAAGCCAACCAGGTGTCCTTTGTGGAGTTTCTTCTTCCTGGGGCCCACATGGGGATGAACATTTGGGGGAGCTGCGATCTTGCAAAGCTCCCCCAAGGCAGCCTGTTAAGGCCAGAGCATCAGCTGCAGGAAGCATTCGCCGACATTTTAAGGCATAAAAGAAAAAAGTGGGGCTTTTGTTATGATGAAACAATGTCCTTCCTTCCTCCCTTCTTTCCCTCTCTCCATTCCCTTTCTTTTCCTTCCTTCCTTCCTTCCTTCCTTCCTTCCTTCCCTTCCCTTCCCTTCTTGGCCCGGGAGCGGCTGAGTGGTTCTGGCATGGCACGGGGCACAAGAGCCATCCCATACTCAGCGTCTCTGTCTTTCCTGTCCAGGATAAGCCCCAGAAGGAGCTCCAGCAGCACCCACACCGGTTCCAAATTTGGGAACAAGGCGAGGCCTCTGGGGCTAGGCTGAAACCTTGATGGCACCCCGGCCACCACTCACCAAGGGCTTCACGCAATGACCACAAGCCAGCTTAGATGTTGGGCAACTGACTGGCTTAGGGGAACACCAATCCTTTGTTCTCACGGGATTCAATTCCTGCCACTCGAAGGGCTGAGATCCTTCCCTGAGGCTGCACCAGGATCCAGCCTCCCTACTGCCCGGAAAAAGCCCCTGCCTGCCCTGAGGCCGGAACCAGCTCAATCCCAGTGGAAAAGGCTGGTCCCTGCCTGTCCCCCTGAGGTCCTCCTCCTCCTCTTCCTCCTCCTCCTTCTAGCAATGAAGATGTTATCTAGTTGGGTCATGAAATGTCTGCAAGGAAACAACCAAGCTCAGAAAAACACCAAGGACCTCGCAGTACCTTCCTCCTCCTCCTCCTCCTCCTCCTCCTCCTCCTCCTCCTCCTCCTCCTCCTCCTCCTCCTCCTCCTCTCCCAGGCAGGAGCCGCCTTTTAACTGTGGACACATTTCAGCCTCACCAGATCTGCTAATTATTGACAGTTGGCGAAGAGGAGATGTCACTCCCCCCCTCCTGTTAAACTGCATCTAATTAGTAATTGCTGCTCACTGTCATCGTGCGGCTGCTGCCGCAACACCACGGCGGCGTTGGCTCATTAACCTCTTGCTTCTCTCATGGCGCTGCCAGCAAAGGGGGCCTCAAACAGATTGGCGAAGGAGAGCCGCTCCCACCCACCCCCTTGGGGAGCCAGAAGGACGCCGGGGCTCCCCGGGGCCAGGCCTTCAGCTGCTCTTCCACCCATGGACAGGGCAGGCCAGCTGCGGAGGGACAGTTGCTCCCAACCTGTGCTGGGAATGGACTGGGCAAGGCAGCTGCCTCCCAAGGACAGGCTGGAATGTTTGGGGGACGGAGGGGCACCTGCGGATGCCCATAGAGGGGAGTACCAGGAGAAAGAGGAAGAGGAGGAGGAAGAGGAGGAAGAAGAAGAGGAAGAGGAGGAGGAGGAAGAAGAGAAAGAGAAGACGAGGAGGAGGAAGAGGAAGAGGAGGAAAAAAAGGTGGAGGAAGAGGAGGAGGAGGAGAGGAGGAGGAGGAGGAAGAAGAGGAAAAAAAGGAGGAGGAGGAGGAGAAGACGAGGAGGAGGAGGAAGAGGAAGAAAAAGAGGAGGAAAAAAGGTGGAGGAAGAGGAGGAAGAGGAGGAGGAAGAGGAGAAAGAGAAGACGAGGAGGAGGAAGAGGAGGAAAAAAGG